GAACTCATTGTTACTCCAGGTCAGGGTTTTCCATAGCATGGTCTGCTCAAGAGTTGGTCTGCAAGTCACTGTTAGGGAAAAAAATAGATTCCATGAGAATAAATGTGAGAAATAATGCATGTTGTAACTTCAATCTGATATACCCAGACATTAACATGCAAGTTTCTGAACAAGCCTCTCAATAGACAAGGGCATCAAATCAAGTATTATATGCAGTTATTTGACAGTGTGCCACTTTTTTGTGGAAATATTCTAGTCTGTTCACGTGGTCCTAATCATCTCAGCCTTCTTATCTCTCTTTAGTAATAGTTCATGATTTGGAAGTTTGAATTAGAAGTGCATCCAAGGCTAACATAGATTAGACTGACCTTGTTTATGATATACCACACATGCAAAGCAGAGAAGTCAGCTCTGTAAACAGGTGGTCAAAAATAAGGCCTGGTAAATGCATAAAGTTATTGAAGACCATAGATCCTCCCACTCTAGTGAGCACAGCTTATCCTAACCCTCTAAGGGTAGCTTCGAAAATATAGGTCTGGATTTTCTGGTCAGAGAGGAAGTCCATGGGTATAGAAAGATCCTCCTTTAACCCCACATTGCCTCAAGAATGGGCAGATAGACTTTTGGTTCCCCAGGACCCAGCCAGGGATTGTGCGTGTCTCTGAATCCCAAGTTCCAACCATTATCCACTAAATGATGGGGCTCAGAGGTCTAGGACAGTCAGGCAATAAAACCTTTCTTATAGGGGCTAGGAAGGTGGCTCAGTAGTAGAGTGCTTGCCTTGCATGCATGAGGCCCTGGGTTCAATTCCTCGGCACCACATAAGCAGAAAAACCTGGAAGTGGCTCTCTGTCTCAAGTGGTAGAGTGTTAGTCTTGAGATGAAGAGCTCAGGGACAGCGCCCACACCCAGAGTCCAGGCCCCATGACCAGCATAAAACAAAACAAAACAAAACAAAAACCCCCAACTTTTCTTATAGTTGAGGATAACTTTGTTATAATTCTTTGCTTACATGAGGATACCGTGCATTTACTATTAAAAAGACAGTTTAAAGATTTCTTGTTTTCCTTATAGAGAGTAATATAGAGTCATCATATATTTCTAGTATATTTTCTTAAATTTTTACCTTCAGATTCAAATGTTTGGGGCAGTTTAGCTGACCACTGTCTGAGAAATGTATGTGTGAATGAGGGCATATTATCTTTCAGGAGAACAATATTGCTTTGTAAGAGTGGGGTCTGCTTTCTGAACCCTAACTATGAACCAAAAAATGGGATGAGAGGTGCCCCATTCCTCCCATGGAGCTATCCCTGTTTGTATACAAGCTCCTCTTTCAGGGCATGTTTATGCTAACCAGGCTCCAGGTGAAATGAAGTTCTAAGCCATGGGCTACTTCTCTATAGAATGAAAAGAACAAGGCTACCCCAGGGAAACACTCCTGAAGAGCAATCAGCCTTCCACTCAGCTTATACTTGAATGAGTATTGCATTTGCAGCTTCCAAGGACAACATCTACTCTTTCCCCCCTTATTTCCTCTAACACTTACAATAGCAACTGGGGAAGAAATTGAATTGCAGGGTTCAGATCCTTTTACAAGTGCCAAGTGATGTTGGAGGAAAAACGTTGTTAATAGAATAGGCAAATAGAGAGTCCAGTAATCTCCAGGCCAAATAGCCCTGGTTAAATATGGATTCTGACTCTTCCCTATGGCTGTTTTATTTGGGAACTCTAGTGTAGTAAATGGTTGGCTCTGGGTTTCTAACAGGCTAAATGTGATCATCAGGAAAAAAATGGATATTCTGGGCTAGAAAGTGATTCCTGTGTCCCTTTCTGGATTGGAGCAAAAATCCAGCTCTTGTGGATTATAGACAACCAGCATGAAGTCACTGTATTTGCTCTGCTATCTGTAACTCCTGCACTGTCCCTGCATTTGCCCCTGGTCTCAGACAAATCCTACCTCCCAGCCCTAGAGCCCCACCTCTGTAACCATGGTTCTTATGATGACTGCAGAGTAAAAACTTCAGCATCTTCAGAAAGATGTAAATGACCACCTGTCTCCTGTTGCATCCATTTCTCATCATGCATTCTCCCTCACGATAATCAGGCTATAAGAAACAGTAGACATTATAATGCCTTTTCTTTCTGCAATAGTTTTATGCTCAGTGTTAAAAGGACACTTTAACATATTTTTGTTTTCTTTTGTAGCAGAGGAGAATATATGTCTTATGTTTTAATATGTCTTTCTAGATCTGTGTGTGTATGTGTGTGTGTTGGTTTTGGGGCTTGAACTTAGGGCCTGGATGCTGCCCCTGAGTTTTTTTGTTTTTGTTTTGCTCAAGACTAACGCTCAACCACCTAAGCCACAGCTCTCCTTCTGGATATTTTTTAAAAAAAATTTTGGAGGTTGATTGGCAATAAGTCTCCTGATCAGGCTGGCTTCAAACCACAATCCTCAAGAATAACTAGGATTACAGACATGAGATAATGGCCGTGGGAACTCATGCTTTTTAAAAATATTTTGCCTTCAGAGCCAAATGATTTGGACCCACTGACTTATCTGGGCTTGGAGTAGCAATGAAGTCCACCAGCTTATCAAATGACCTTTGCATGGTCCTCCTGTGGGCAACCAGGACCCTCAGACATGTGCCTTATATAAATGACCACACAGTGGTGATCCCCAAGTCTTGCAATTTCTATTCTTGTCTTTCTAGTCCTTCAACTTCCCCCTAAAGGCAACTTTCTCAATTGAGTATGAGTAGTCCTTTATGAGTAGTCCTATTTAGTTTATATGTACAGTTTTATTCTTTAATCTTGAAACATCACTAGTATTAGACTACATTAGACTTGCCAGAATACCATGCAAACATCCAGGCATTAAAGAACAAAGAACAGTTTATTACCAGCAAAGGGACCGGCAAGACCCCTTCTCAAAGAGAGAAGATGTGCCAGCTATTGTCTGAGGTGACCTATATAACCTACAGGAGCTAGGAGGCAGAGACCTAGGTGTGGACATGTGGACCATGGGCTTTATCATGGCAGCTAGGATTTATGGCTGTTGCCAAAGTAGCATATAAAGGGTCTTACAGCTGCCTCGACCTGAAGGTCACTCTAAGGGATCTTGCTGCTTTATATGGTTATAGCTGCCCTAAAGGAGTGCCACCTCGAGGTAAAGGGGGTGGAGGCTGAGATTATTCACTGCCTTTACTAAATAGGCCTAGTTTGCCTAGGAAAGGAGCATGCTAAACTATGAGAGAAGAGGCTACTAGGCCAACAATTGGTATAACCTGACATGAGTGCTATGTAAAATCAACCATCTATAGTGTGTTTCTTAGCCTTGGTTTCATTTCCTTTATTTCCAGTGACCTGCACTTAACCAGCATCTGAGAGGATATTACAATACAATTTAGTATTTAGAGAGACCAAATTTACATAACCCTTATTACAATACTGCTGTAACTATTCTATCATTTACTTTTAATCTCTATAAATTAAAATTTTATCATAGGTACAGATGCATGAAAACAGTATGTGAAGGCTATAGTAGTATTTGCCCTTTATGTATTCCCTGAGGGTCTCAGAACACATGTCCTAGAGTATGAGGGGACTACTATATCCAATGCTCATCTTCTATGCATGATTGCATCTTACTTACTAAGAGAACAAGCATTTGACTCTAGAGTTGAGAATGCTGTGTTTGTTACAGAGTGAGGTATCTTAGTTGTCTCTTTGCATCATTCAAATGTGGAAGAATAGCCATTGCAGATCATGACAGATACCTAGATTCACAATAAAGAGAGCTCTTCCCTGGTCTCCCTAGTTAGCCTGTCATAGGCAAGGGCACAGTATTTTCTGGGGTGTTTCAGAGTATGATCACAGTGATCATACTCTGAAACACCCCAGAAAATACTAGAGCAAGGAGTGTTGTGTTATATCTACTTTAAATGCTGCTAACAGCAGAAAAATGAATGGCATCAATAACATAATGAAGTCTTTAATTTGGCCAGCACCAAGATGAATTAGAGCAAGTGTATGCAATGACCTAAATAGAGGTAGGCAGTTAGTTCATTGATGTATAAATTCTACAGGATTTTGTCATGATTGCAGAAAAGCATTAAAGTGTTATCAGATATCTTTATCATCTAAATTTGGAAGACAGGGAGTTTGATGTTAATATATAGAATAATGTAGATTCTCTACATAGAATAAATTTACATGACTAAAAGAAAAAAATACAAAAATCTTCAAATGTTACTATTCTTAGACTCAAAGAATGGTGGATGTGAAGGGTAAGAGGCAGAAGGTTCTATGGGAAAAACATGAGCACCATTTACTGAATACTTGATGAGAAGATTTGAATAGTTCTCATTGGAATGAATGGACTTAAAAAATAAGAAGAGTTCTCTTGGTTATACCCTCAAATTTAATAAACAGAAATGAGAATGAGACCCATCATGAGGCAAGTTCGTTGATTAGGAATGGAGACATAGACTTGATCACAACCATGGAGATTGCAGGAGTGATACCAACAGGCCAAAAGATCTGGGAAACAGATGCTACTAGTCAATGGGATTTTATTCTATTTTGCTCTCAAATTCTTCTTTCATTCTCTCTCTCTCTCTCTCTCTCTCTCTCTCTCTCTCTCACACACACACACACACACACACACACACGATATTTTTTAAAAAAATCTGTCCCTTAGCAGATATTTCTAAAACATTTACATAGGAGGAAAGCTGATATCTCTCTTGGTCCAGATATTCCCATCATCAAACACATAAAAGAAGAGTATGTCTAAAGACATCAGTGCTACACTCAGAATATGTGCATGTGATTTCTCGCTTTGTGATATTATATATATATATTTATATTATATATATTTGGCTGGTATATATATATATATATATATATATATATATATATATATATATATATATACTTGGCTGGTAGGTCTGTTGCAAAATCCAGGGAAAAGCAATTTTCAATAGAAATAATGGAGTGTCTTTGACTTGAGTGTTCTAGGACACTGCAAACATTTTGTGATAATGCCTGAAATAAATACCAACCATCTTGATGAGCAACAGGTTCAGCTCCTGGCAGAAATGTGTATTCTTATTGATGAAAATGACAAGAAAATTGGGGCTGACACTAAGAAGAATTGTCATCTGAATGAAAATATTGAGAAAGGACTTTTGCATTGAGCATCAGTGTCTTCTTATTTAACTCTGAAAATAAGCTTCTGCTACAGCAAAGATCAGATGCTAAAATTACTTTTCCAGGTTGTTTTACCAATAGTTGTTGTAGTCATCCATTAAGTAATCCAGGCGAACTTGAAGAAAATGATGCCATTGGTGTGAGACGAGCAGCCCAGAGGTGTCTAAAAGCTGAATTAGGAATTCCCTTAGAAGAGGTTCATCCAGAAGAAATTAATTATCTAACTCGAATTCACTACAAAGCACAATCTGATGGTATCTGGGGTGAACATGAAATGGATTACATCCTGTTCTTGAGGAAGAATGTAACTTTGAATCCAGATCCCAATGACATTAAAAGTTACTGTTATGTTTCAAAGGAAGAACAAGAACAACTTATGAAGAAAGCAGCCAGTGGTGAAATTAAGATAACGCCATGGTTTAAAATTATTGTAGAGACTTTCCTCTTTAAATGGTGGGATAACTTAAATCACTTGAACCAGTTTGTTGACCATGAGAAAATATATAGAATGTGAATGTGTAGCTAAATGATGATGGAAGATTTTCCTTACCCAGTAAACTTTGGGGGTTTCTGTTGTTAATTTAAGTTGGGTTTCCTTTTTGGAGAACTCATGGATACTTTATAACCAAAATTTGAATGGCAAACATCTACTGACTGACTTAATTTTTTATAACGTACACCAAAATATATGCACTAATATTTGCAAAAGACGTTTTTGAGAGATTATTGTAAAAAGATAGCAAAACTTAATTTAACCTGTCCAAATACATTGAAGAGGTTAGTGCTCTTCATTTTTTATGCTTAAAAAATACATTTCAAAACTCATGTTTGCCAGGTGTTTATATACCATTAAATTTTATTATATCCCAGAAAAATGGGCAGAGGAACCTAGTTTGCTACTTATATTCTAAACAGATCAAACAGTCAAAGAAGGACTGGGGAGGTAGCTCAGTGGTAGCTTGATTGCCAAGCAACAGGAAGCCATGGGATCCTCAGCATCACAAAGGAAATAAAAGTGGCAGAGCAGCTTCAAAGGAAATTAAACAATATACAGACATCCTTTCAGGACCTTCTTACCAAAATCTGAATGTTCATGTCTTTTATGAAATTACATAGTATTTATTCATCCTTGTGTATACTTTAAATCATCTATAATACCTAATACAAATAGTGATGTATTATTTAGGGAAGTGGCAGGAAATGTCTATACATAGTATAGATGCACTGTTTTTCAAGTATTTTCAGTTCACAGTTGGTTAGGTCTTTGGATGGGTAACCGCTTAATTTCTATTATTTAAGTTGATATTTATGATTTGGTCATTTTTGCTACCTAAGGTCAACTGTTAGTTTTGGTTATTGTTAAGTTAAATCTTTTAAATAGTATATATCGTGGCAAAGTCTGTTTAAGAATTATAGTGGAAACAGGCTACTCACAAAAGAGGCACTAAGTCCTCTTTACTGGAGTTAAGAAACTCTTTGGCACTATATGGTATGGATAGTTCATTGTGCTTACACAATGAGCTGTGTGTCTGCCAACTGTTGTCTGCCACAACAACTAAAATTACACACCGTATTAAAAGCCCCCTGGGCCAGGAGCCACTATTCTATAGCCACATCTTATTTTAGGGGAGTGGAGTGGGAAATAATGAAGACCAATGTTCAGGTTGAATGTATATTTAAATTGCACTTTTTACAATTTACCGTAAGTTTCCAAGAAATCTTAAGACAGTTTTATTATCCTTAAATGTTGTAGAATAATGAAAAATAAAACTTCTTACAAAGCTTAAAAAAATAGAAATAATTCTCCAAAGCTCTTCCTTTACCTAGTTAGACCTAAGCAAGTCTATAAGTAATCCGTAGTTTCCTCAAATAGCATCTGTTGATATTGACAAGGTCTGCTCTTATACATTAGCTATGTTGAGTGAGAGTTTTGCTTCTCTGCCCCTGATAACTCATCAAATTGGTGTCATACCACCTATGTCATAGTACTGAGAAGATTAAACCATCATAGAAAGCACCAATCAAGTTCTTCTGATACCTGCTTCTGGTCCTGTCAAATAGGCTGCCCAAGGCTACCTCCCAACCAAGTTTAGAGTGGAGTAGCAAGAATGGTTCTTGCTACTCATTGCTACCTTCTTCTAGTAGCTAAACACACCTAACACAATACTTTGGAATACTGGCCCCATAGGTGGTATAAGGCCCTAGAAATCATTTGATATGTGATGGGACAGACAGGTATGCTTCCTGTATGCTTCTCATCTGCTGCCTACAGTTGTCTGCATGTACTGATAATTTTGTGTGGTAATGTTATACATATCCAAATGACCCTTGGTAGAAAAAAGGTGCCTAAACCCTGTCCCAACATTCAGAGGGAATAAAAAGGGAAAAGTGTGAGAATGGGCAGGAACATGAGTTTTAAGCATCATATACTTGAATTTGAAACCCAATCCCACCATTTATTAGATAATGGTTTCTCATAAGGTCTCCAACCTGGACCTGTGTGAACTTGTCCTTATCATAAAATTGGGGCAAACACTTCATAGGAAGGATAATGGGAAGATTTTATTTCATACAGAAAACACTTCACAGAGCATCTGACCCATCATCTTAAGTAATTTTAAGAAACTAGCCAGAAACTGAAATTTTCTTAGAGACATTTCTATATTCACTTATGGCAACATCTCATTTGACTCCTCACCTCATCAGAAGAGTTTTCAAACACAGCAGGCAATGGTAAGGACTTGTGGTGTCAGAATTGTAACCTCTCTGTACGGTATTTTCACAATAAAATACATATAGAAAAAAATGGAGCAAGTAGTAGCTTGACCCCAGGTTCACTCCACCCCAGGTTTGCTCCTTGATCAATGTCTCCTGGCCTAGGCCCGCCTTGGTCAGGGGCCTACCCAGGAGAAGCATCAGGTCCTCTAGGTTTCAGATAGCCCATGGAGTAAGACCTCGCACCCCCATGCCTGTCATTTACAGGGCCTTCCTAAAGTCATCGGCAGAGCAGGTAGCCCAGGATGGGGCCTGGGATGTCTGCTTTGCGGTGTGCACTTGTTATTAGCCGGAGGTGCAGAAATTTCGTCGAAGATGTCGGCCTTGTTCGTCTGATCCAATGTCATGACTGCGAGCAAGAGGAAGCTGAAGCTCGCTGGAACCCGCAGCAGTTCCGGGACACAGTCCATAGTCACTCCAGTAGGGGAAGATGCCATCATGGGGAGCCTGGCCACTTCCAGGCAGTGCAAAGCCAGGTAGAGGAGGCAGAAGGAGGTGCTTATGTCAGCAGTGCATAGCCAAGCAAATAATGGACCATACCAGCCTCCTCTTCCCCCCCCCCCTTTCTCTCTTCACAAAACAATTTCAACAGGGTTATTGCTTTTTCTCACACAGGCAGATAAACGATTTCAACCACATTCATTCTGTCACCCCCCTTCCTTAACCCTCCTGCTCCAGCTGACAGGGCCCCTCCCCAGCCTGCTTTACTTTTCGTCTGTCATTCCTTCCAGCTGTGGAATGGTGGCATTAGCAGGCTGCGCCAGGCAGGCAGGGGGGCTGGCCCCCAGAGGGGCAGCCTTTGGTTCCGCCCCCGCCAGACCGCTAAAAACGACGGGAAAGTTCCTTGGTACAACGTTCCCACAAGTAATCAGTTCTTTCTGGCGTGTTTTTTTTTCTGGTCAGAGAGGGCAAGTGTGAATCGCCCCAGATGGACTGGAGGGAAGACAAGGGAAATGAGAGCAGCACTGGCAAAGGCAGTGCTGAGCACTGGGATCCGGAAGCTGAGGTGATTGGTTTGGTGATCCCGAGAGCGCACTGGGGGGGAGCACCCCGAGACCCGCCCAGCCGCCCCCTCCCCTCGCCTCGGGCTACCTCAAGACCAGGTCTGGATCCCAGCGGCTTGTCCCGGGCTTCTACCAGACCCGACCTGCGCCCTCGGCCTTTCGCCCAGGATTGCCCCACACTGCGTCCCGCCCCTCATCGGCTGGGGGCGGGGCGAGACCCGGCCCCTGCGGCGCAGTCTTTGGTTCCAGGTACCGGCCGCCAGGCCTCGCTGGCCAGCCCTTACTGGAAACTTTCCTGGTTGAGCTTCCGCATTTAACCAGTCATTTCCGGCGTGTTTCTCCCCCGCCCCCTCGCAGGGCGCAAGCGCAATCCCCGAGACAAGGGGGCGGGGGCGGGGCCGTGGGAAGTCCGTGCGGTGGCGGCCGAGGCCATGCTGAGCTTGGAGCTGCTGAGGTGGGCATTCCCCAGCACCGCCCCGAGACCCGCCAGATTCCCGCTCCCCCTCCCCAGGGCTGCCTGGAGGACTGGTCCAGATCCCAGGCTCTTGCCTTGGACTTCCAGGGCTGGCCGGCCACTCATCCCAGGCTGCTCCGAGATTCCCGACGCCATTGGCCCCTCGTCTCAAAATGCCCCGCATCCCGGCCGGCCTTCCGCCCTTGGCTCTTTGCTTCGGACTGTCTCGAGATCCTGGCCTCAGTCCTCGGCCCCTTGCTTTAGGTAACCCCTAAATTCTGGCCGGCTTAGGCCCCTTGTCCGGTTGCCCGAGACCCTGGCCAGCCCTTGGTCCCTTGCCACGGGCTTCCTAAGGACCCGGCCTAACCTTGGCTCCAACATGGCCCGGGATCCCCGGACCGGCCAGCCCAAGGCCTCTTGTCCCAGTTGCCCCAAGACCTCGTGGTATACCGCGGCCCCTTACCCCAGGCCTCCCAGACACCTGTCCGGCCAACCTTCAGCCCCTGTCCAGGGTCTCGATTCCTTGTCCTGAGGTGCCTTGAGATACTGGCCAGCCCGTCGTGGCCCCTTGCCCCGGGCCCGAGACCTTTAGGGCTGTCCACCTGCTCCTCAGCCCCGTTGCCCTTGGATTCTGGCCTCTAGCCCTGGGCTGCCCCGAGAGATTCCTACTGGCTTTCACCTCTTCTCCCCATGTTGTCTCAAGACTAGAGACCCCATCAGGGCCCTGGCCCCTTAGGGCTTCTTGGATACCCACACTCATCCATCTGCCTGAGCCCCAAGACTACAGTTGGCACTCGACCCCTTTCCCCAAGTTGCCCTGAACCCCCCTCCCCACCCCCCACTACTGGCTGGTAGGCAGGCAGTCCCAAGATTCGGGCCAGCCCTCTTCCCCTTGTCCAGGATTGTCTGGAGACCCCAGCTGGCCTGGGTCCTGAGATGTCTCAAGACCCCAGCTGGCCCTCTGACCCTTCCCTCTGGAAACCTGTCCAACACCAGCCCCCACCACCCTGAGACCCTGGCCAGCCCCCAGCCCCTCATTCTGAGATGTGCGGAGACCCTGGCCAGTCTTCTGTCACTCGACCCAGGTTGCCCTATGATCCCAGCTGCCCTTCCACTCCTCTTCCCAGGTTTCTGGCCCATCTTCCCCGGCTGCCCTGAGAACCCATCCGCCTCCCCTTCCTCCCTAACTTTTGCCCAGGGCTTCATGGATGCCTGTCCAGAGCTTTCCTAGGGCTCTGAATCTGGCAGGAAGGTGGCCTGGCCCCTTAGGGTCCAGCCTCTAGTTCCAAGTCCACCCCTGCCAGACCTGGGTCAGCCAAAGGCTCTAGAAGAAATTTCCTGAGTAAAGCATTCACACATATTATGAGTTATTTCTGGCATTTTAAAATTTTATTTTAGAAGTCTTAGATGGTGCAAGCAGGAATCTTGAGACAGGTAGACAGGAGTGGAGTCAAAGGAAATCCAAGCTGGAGGCAAAGGCAGTGCTGAGCCATGGAGCCTGCAGCTGAGATGAGTGCTCGTGACCAGGACCACTATCCTGTCAGTGTATGGGTGGCCAGGGCCCTGAGCCCCACTTGACTGACGTTTTACCCTGCTGAGGGAGTGCTCTTTCCTGGTGAGTGACTGTCCTCTTCCTGGAGAGTGAGTGTTCTTCTGGTGAGTGAGTTTTCTTTTCCTGGTGAGTGTCCTCCTCCTGAGTGTGTGCTCTCTTCCTGATGTGTGTGTGAGGGTTCTCCTGGTGACTGA